CCCCCCATCTGCACACCCAGCACCCCTGCCCCTCCCCCCATCTGCACGCCCACCACCCCGTCCCTCCTCACCTCCTCCCCTGCAATCTCCATGCTCAGCACCCCCGCCTGGTAGTAGGCATCCATGGCAGAGTTGAAGAAGTACTCGGAGAAAGCCACGTAGACCATGCGCTCCGTCTCCTTGATCACTGGTGCCACCGCCTGGTTCGCCAGCGTCTCGTTCCACCGGTAGTAGAACATGCCCTGGGCAGCACAGAGCTAGTGAGTCCCGGCCCCGCCGGCCCCCGCCCCGGCCCCACAGAACAGGCTCCCCTGGGCACTCAGCCATTGCAGCCCCCGGCGTCCCCACGCACTGGTATCCGCGTGCATGGTGGGCCGACCCCGCGCACCCCGGAGCCAGGGCATCACAGACGTGGCCCAGTGGCTCCCTCGGCCACGCTGGAGCCCCCCCCCGCCCCCCCGTTACCTTGAAGTCCAGATCGAGGGTGTCAGGGGAGACGACGGGGCTGCTGAGGAGGGAGTAATCGATGCTGATGTGCTCGTCCACCGGGCTGCGCACTGTGCCCAAGGAAGGCAGAGTCAGTCGCCCGGCGAGGCCTGAGCTCGGCCCAGCCAGGCTGACGCCCCCTCCGCCCCGTCTCTGGGCCCCCTCCGTCCTGCCCCGGCTTCTCGAGCAGAGCAGCCGCTGGGCCTAGCCTGTTACCACGGCTGCAGCCCACTGCCCCCCGGCATGGACCTGCCCCCCCAGCGTGGACCTGCCCCCCAGCACGGCAGCACAGTGCAGCTCTGCACCCAGGCCCAGGCTGAGCCGGGCCCAAGTCTGGTCTCGTCAGCCCAAGCCCCCGTGGCGGCCGCAGGGACGCGGACTCACCCGACACGGTGTCCAGCAGCGAGTTCAGCTGCACAAGCCCCGCGTAGCGCAGCGCTGGGCAGATCTGAAACAGACATCACAGGCTGGGTCGGGGTCGGCAGGATGGGTGTCCCTGCAGCCTCCATGGGAGCCTCTCCCGCTCCCGGGGCCCAGCCACCGACCCCCATGGGAACCGGGAACATCCTGCCCGTGGCTCCAGGAGCTGCTCGTCCTAGTGCGTCAAAGCCACAGCACAGGACTCGCTGCCCCCCCCAAGCACCAGCCCCTCCTAGGCTGCTCTGCCTGCGCCCCCCCCCCCCCCCCCCCCCCCCCCCCCCCCCTCCGCCTGCGCCCCGCCACCCCGACCCGCAGCCCCCTTCCACCCCGCCTGCCCCCATTCTGCCTGCGCCCCACCACCCCGAACCACAGCCCCCTCCCACCCCGCCTGCCCCTGCTCTGCCTGCGCCCCATCACTGCGACCCGCAGCCCCCTTCCACCCTGCCTGGCCCCGCTCCGCCTGCGCCCCACCACCCCGATCTGCAGCCACTGCCCTCATGCTGACCACAGTTCATGATTTGGGGCTGGGGGCCTGCAAGGCGGAAGTGCCCGCAGTTGATACCACTCCCTGCCTGCTCCACCCCCACTGTTTGTGCCCTGCCCCGGCCCCAAGGGGGATGTCTCTGCCCACAGCGTACCTGCCGGTTGACAAGGAAGCGTATTCCTGTGGTGGCGAAGGTAGACAGGAATTCATAGACCTTCCTGTGGAGACAGAATCACAGTCCTCAACCCCCTGCCCTCCTGCTAGGGGACCAGAGAGCCTCCTGGCATGGGAGCAAAGGTGGCATGGGGGGCGATGGGGCTGCTGACCAGTGGTTGGGGGGCAGGGCACCGTGGGGTGGCCCCCCAGGCAGTACCTGAGTGTGCCCGTGAAGCCAGTCTGCATCCTGGCAATGGAGGCGTTACAGGATATGTTGGAGATCTTGAGGCGCCCGACCTTGTCCATGGACAGCTTCAGCCGGGTGCGGATGTTGACATCTTCGGCAGAGGCGTTGATGGAGCCAATATCGTAGCTGGGAAGCAAACGGTTAAACCAGGTGAGCAGCACCCAAGCAAACAGGCACCTCCCCGGGGAGCCGCCGCCCCAGAGCCTGTGTGGGGGTGAGAGAGCTGAGGGGTGGGGGGCTAGCCCAGCCAGAGCCCAGGCACAGGCCCCGTCAGAGTGAGCGTCTGATCCCAACAAGGGGGAGGCCTGACCGCCCCTGGGGGGGGAATGAGGAGAGGGCCCAGGACCGGACCCCGCGCGGGGGGGGGGGGGCAGAGGGGAGGGGAGGGGGAGGGGACCTGACCCCGCGCTGGGGGGGCGAGGGGGGGCGTGCCAGCTCACAAGAACCAGTAGAGCAGCTGGCGCCGGAAGCGCAGGCTGATGGAGGCGTTGTTGATGTTGAAGGCGAGGTGCTGCGGGGGCCGGAAGTGCAGGTTGGAGAGCGCCAGCTGCAGGTCCGTCACCTTCACCCTGCGGGGGCACAGGCAGCGTCAGGCCCACGCCCCCGCCCGGTCCCCAGCATCTCTAGCTCGGCTCTGCCGCCCCGGCTGCGGCCGTGACTCCTGGGCTCGTGCTGAGCCATGTCGGAGTCACTGCAATGGGAGAGGCCCCTGCACCCCTGGGCGGCATCACGCCCTAAAGCCTGGCTCTTCAGGGCTGCACCTAGTCCAGTGCTACCAGCCCCTCCCTGGCACCTTCCCTCCACCCACCTCCGCCCATCCCCGGAGTCACACCCACCTGCCGGCTCCTTGCCCCTTACACACGCTGCTGTCTCGGGCCCCTCCGGCCCCAGGTCCTGCCTCTTCCTGCCCTCCCCCCGGCCCTCACTTACCCGCTGATGTTGTACTGGAACTGCCCTTCCTTCCCGTGCAGGTCAGGGATGCTGATGTGCTCCAGCTCCTGCTCCACAAAGCGCAGCCCTTCCTGCTTCACTGCAAAACAACGGCCCTGCTCTCTGCCCCGGCCTTGGCTCCACAGGGAGGAAAGAAGGCCACGGCCCTTCCCCCCAATCCACCCTTCAATCCCAGGGCACTGGCCAGGCCAGGCAAGTCCTTTTCCTGGCAACCCAGATGTATGTAAACAGCCCAGACTTGCCCCAGGCCCGCTGGGCTCCTTCCCTCCCCAGGGAGGGTGGGCTAAGGACAGCGGAACATCCTGCTCCACCCCGCCGGCTCAGCACCAGCGGCAGGGAGCGTCCCGTTGTGGGGAACCCCAGAACAGTGGGCACGCCCTGATCGGGTGCCACCGGGGGTGCTGCTCCAGCAGCCTGTGGTTCCTGACCAGGCCAATCGACTCTGGCTCCCCCAGCTCCTTACCCAGCTCCAGGCCCTTGGAGGTGATCCGGATCTTGCACCCAGGGGTAGCAGCTCTCCCTGCAGTGACCAGCCAGGGCAGCATCAGGAGCAGGAGGCTGCCCAGAGCCATGGCACGTCTCTTCCTGGGGGAGACCAGAGCAGGGCTGTTGAGACCAGCTGAGCAGGCAGCCGGGCACCATTCTCAGGCGCCGCGGCACTGCGCCTTCCCGCTGGTGGGAGATGCCAGTGCGCCCGGCTCCCCAGGTGGGCGCGGGCGGCCGGGGTGAAGGAGGCCTCCTAGCCCATTACCATCCATTGCTAACAGACTCTCGCCCAGGACCCTGGGAGCCCCCCAAGCGCCGTGGTTCCCTCCCCCTGGCAGGGAGCCTTGGCCAGAGCCCTCCGGCATCCTGCCCAGACGCTCCCTCGGTGGCACCCTGTGACTGGCTCCCCTTCCTCCCATGCAGGTCACTTGGCTTCCCGGGCCGGGCCCCAGGGCCCCCTCGCCAGGGGTCTCAATGCCCAGCCCAAGAGGGGCCCGGGGAGGGACAAGGGCAGCCGCAGCGGGGCGGGCTGTGTGAGCTGCCCGGGGGGAGCCCGGCCG